GGAGCGGACAGCGCTGCGGGCCGGACAGCGCTGCGGGAGCCGGGCCTCGGGGCCCCGCTGACACTGCCCCGCCCGGGCGCCCTGCGCTGGGATCCCGCACAGGGCGGAACCCTGCAGCCCTCTCGGGAGAGGACAGGGACCCCCCCCCTGGGGCCAGCGAGCTCTGTTAGCTGGGAAGCATCTCACTTCGGGGTCTGCCTCCCAGTGCCTCGGACGAGAAGTTTGTTTTCTGGTCTTGATAGGAGGGCTACTTGGACAGTTCGAAGCAGAGGAGGCTTTTCTGCAACTCGGGTGCTTACAGGTGTTTCTTTTCTGTTCTGACAGAGTTGTTGCCATGGCGACTCAAGTGCTGGGACAGTCTGGTGGGAACAGCCTCTTTCCTGGCAGTGCTAATATTGGTGTGGCTTTGTCCAACGACATGTATGACTTACACGACCTTTCTAAAGCTGAGCTGGCAGCTCCTCAGCTTATTATGTTGGCAAATGTTGCCTTGACAGGAGAAGTCAATGGCAACTGCTGTGACTACCTGGTTGGAGAAGAGAGGCAAATGGCAGAGCTGACGACGGTGGGGGACAGCAACTTCTCAGACAGCGATGGAGAGGGCATGGAAGATAGCCAGGCTGTGGAGAGTGACCGCGAGGCACCTGAAAACACGGAATTAAGCTCTCTTGAAGTTCCCAGTGCGGAAACCCAAGGTGCAGCTGCTTGCCCCTCTCCTAAGACTCCCAGTGGGGACAAAGACGGCTCATTGGAAGCACCAGCTACACCAGAGAGCACAGAGGACAAGTCTAAGAGCTCAAAGAGCAAGCCGTTTCGTTGTAAGCCTTGCCAGTACGAGGCAGAGTGTGAGGAGGAGTTTGTGCATCATATCAGAGTTCACAGTGCTCAGAAATTCTTTGTGGAAGAAAGTGCAGAAAAGCAAGCCCAGTTGAAGGAGTCTGATTCTTTCCTCGCAGAAGAGGTGGATTTCTCTAAAGGCCCAATCCGTTGTGATCGCTGTGGCTATAACACTAACAGATACGATCACTATCTGGCTCACTTGAAGCACCACAACAAAGCAGGGGAAAATGAGAGAGTCTACAAGTGTACCATATGCACTTATACTACCGTCAGTGAATATCACTGGAAGAAACACTTAAGAAATCATTTTCCCAGGAAAGTGTATTCCTGCTCACAATGCTCCTATTTTTCAGATAGGAAGAACAATTATATTCAACATATTCGTACTCACACAGGTAATCCATTAATCTTTTTTTATTTAAGCATGGTAAGAGCACTGAGAAACTGTGAGGAATGAAGCTGGTGGAGAGTCTTCTGTCCACTGAGTTTGTTCCACCCCAGTAAAGCTCTGTGCTCTCCTGTCTTGGTGCTGCCGGGTTGTGGAGTTTCATGAATGTGTGCATCTGGTTTCATCTTCCATCTGCAGTCCTAGAGGACTGAGAAAATCTGTCAGTGTTAGGGACCCATGAGCAGGTGAAGAGCATCCTATTCAGTAATTTTAAGCTAATTCCTTTAGGCGGGCATGGCAAAGTGTGCCTGTAATGATTGCCAGGGTCTACAGCATAAAAGCCTGATGTACTGTGAAAACAAAACAAGCAGGTTGACAAAAGGTGCCTAAAACAGATAAGTAGTTTTGAAAATGGTACCTTCAGACTGAGCTAAACCTCGACCAAGCAGTAATTACAGAGAAGGAAAGGGCTGATACACACATGCAAACGAGCCCTCCAGCATCTGAAGTCAGAGTAAGGGTTGTGGTTTTAGTGAATGAGTTCTTAATGTACAGGGGCCTAATTTTTTCTAAGGTCTGTCTGAATCGCTGCAGTAGCCAGCAGCAGACACATAACTTCTGTTGGCCTGTAGGAAGCCCTCAAGGGAGTCTGTGGCCTGATTTCCTGTCTTCTCGGGTTTGTAATCTCAAGGAAAGCATGAGGCCCCTCTTTACTCTTGTTTATACCAAGTGGAATCAGAGGACCGTCTGTGTTGCTGTCATCCTGTGAGCTAGGGCTGCAGGTGGTCTAGGAAACACCTTGTCTTTTATCAGCCAGCCTCTCCCATGGGGAGTGTAGGCAAAACTTGCGATTCCTTTCCAGCCGAGGGACAAAACCGGCAAGGGGACATTCAAGCCATCTCGCCTCTTTGGGCATGAGGTGCAGCTGCTTTGCCTCCTGATCCCTGGTGTGGAAGTGGGAGGACAGTTCAGACTTTTCCTATAGCTTCTCAGCAGCTTTTATTTCCACCTTGGCAAGGCTTTCTGAGTAGAGGGCAGACTTGTTGCTAACCGTCTTCTAACGTGCTGATCTGACTCGGTTCCCCTTTATTGTAAGCTGTGCCGGCTGAGGAAAACACTGGGGAATTTCTCCTTTGAAGTCATGTTTTGTCACAGCAGTGACATGAATGCTTTGGAGGCTTCAGTTCAGTTGTTTGCAGCTGTCTGGAAAGGGAGGGCTAGAGACGGGTGGCCTCGAGGCCGGGCTTGAACTCAAGTGTGCAGAAGTTAGTGTTCGTCAGCATGCTTTACTATCTGCTTTGGACAAGATCTGCTGGGATTTTTAGTGCATTAAGATATATTCTTCTCTTAACAATAGCCATGTGCTGTTGTTTAGAGGATACCATCAGTTTAAAAATCAGCCTTGTCTAAATATTTTTTTTCCTAAACAAAGTAAACAAAGATTATTGTGAGACGTGTTACGAAAATGGTGTGGTTTCTCCTCCAGTTTGTTTTATTTTTGTGTATTGTGGGAGATAACAGGAAAGAGACTATGTAAAAATGACAAAATAATAGGAGAGAAGCTAAAATAAATCATCCGGGGAACTCGTGGCCCAATTTGAGCCCATGCTGTGGTGCCTGTTTTTCATTTGTCTTGACTTTAAATTCATCCCTGCTTGCGTTTGTACTTGACATTAGGTCCCCCCTCTGAGCTCTGAAAGCTCTTGTTGAGTGTTACAGAAACTAACCACAAAAGCATGTTTGCTGAGGAAGCACTCTGTTATCTCTGTATTTGACCAATTTACCAGTGAAGTGTATTAACATAAAAAAAAAAAAAAGCATGGTAAGTGATGTAAGATAATGGCTACTTCCTCTTTTCTCCTTCAAAAATAGCAGCGCAGTCAAGGTTTCTGGTTCTTTGGTTTGCCATGTCTTTCAGTTATTTTAATTAAGCTGACATGAGTGACTATGATTATGACTTCAGAATTTTTAGTCCACCCTGGTATTTTTTTTCTTTGCTAGCTCTTTACTAAAAATTGAAGATCTTTCAGCCAGTTCTCTCTTGATAAAAACCTTTCAAATATGTTAGTAGACTGATTTAGGAATGTGACTTTTTTCCAGCAACGTTGATTTTGTGAGGGAGAGTGTTGAAGCTAAAGGAAGAGTTTTAGAAGAATGAATAAGCTACTGGCAGGTATATTTATTCACCAGGCTAAAAGTTTCTGCCGATATTAATGTGTAACTAATTGCCTTAAAAAAAGCACAAAGCCACAATGCACAGAATGCCAACCAACCAATTCCCCCCCAAAAATCAGAAAAACACTCACAGATATTTTATAAAGAAAAGTACTTGCAGAGTGTTATACATATCAATGCCGAATTTAAGAAAAACTGTAAATGATACTAAAATATCTTTGGATTATAGTTTTCATTTAAAACATAAGGAAAATATTTGTTGGAAAAAAGATGAGGATACATACTTCATTTTCTTCCTGTTATATGGGTTCAGAATGTTAAGAAGAAATTTAGAATTGTTTGTTTCTTTGGTTTCCTGATTGCTAATAGGTTAAATAATTTTGTACAGGAACTTTACTTTCTCTCCTGTTTTATGTACTACCCTTGTCTTTTCTTGTGTGGGAAAACTCCTCCTTGCAGATAACTGGATTCTGCTGTGTTTGAGCCCTGCAGTTTTCTGAAACTGTTGCAGTACAGAGTGCAGTTTCACAGGATCAAATGCTCTGGTGCTACTGCTAAAGAAAGGCAGTTTCAGTTTTCTCCCCGTATCCTGGGACTGGTTGATTCATCTCACTTAAAATGGCAGTAAAATATTTCTTTCCTGTTCTCCAGGTTGGTTTTTTGCTGGTTAGTGAAGTGAATCACCAGACTAAGGACGAATTCAAATGCCAGAGCACATGGCCAGGGGCAAGGCGGGGGGACTGCATGCAAGTACCTTGCACGGTGGGAGAAATCACTATCTTCTGCCCATTTGGGGACCACAGGAGGACAGGCAGGCAAAGGTAATTGGCTTGCCTGTTGCTTGCAGCCGGGCTGGAGAGAAGGTTTCAGTGAACCCACCCTGTGCTGGAAGATACATTACAGCTTGTCACAGGGCTTGTGTGACAGTCTGCTGAGAAATATTGGGGAGCTTGGGCAGAGGGGTGGTTTAAGGACCTTGCAGATGGTCATAAGTTTGTCAGCTGGGATAGCTAAAGAGCCTGTCTGCTACCCAGAAGAGGTGTGGTTGGAGATGTTCAGGGCCGTCCCTTCCTCTCCTGATGGGGTAGAAAGGATCCTTTGTCTCAGGGACAGATACACCTGGACTCCTTTGAGCTCATTAGACATGTTAGATCAAGTTGTGACTTGATTTACCCCATCACTATCCATACTGCTGATCCCGGAACTGTACTACGTGCAAGACAGTGCAGTATTGTTCTAATTTTTTTTTTCCATTTTGCTTGTCAGAAGAAATTTCTAGAAAACTTAATTGAAAGCCTTCTGCAAGGCTATATAAATAACACGACTACTTCAGGCAGTCACAGTGTTCAGTGCCTAGCTTTGGTCTGTCTTTGAAAATTTTGGTTGTCATAGGGAGTCTTTCTTGTTTGACACTGTGGGAAGTTTGATGGAAGCAGTTTTGTTTCAAGCAGACAGAACTTTTTATGGCATTGCAAGAAAAGCTTTATAAAGAAATTATCTTGATTACTGATGTCAGTCAGCCTATTCATTTGCATAGCCTGCTTAAGCTTTTGCTAGGTTGGGGTTTATTCTTTAGGTGTCTTTAGAGAGTTTTTTTTTTGGTGGCTTGTTTACATATCAGGAGCTTGTAAAATTACAATAAAAATCATTTGGGGAATAGCACTTCCTAAAACAGCTCTTACAATGTAGTAATGTATTTAATTTTCAAGTGGCAATAAGAGATTTCAAATTAATTGCATTCATTGTACTTTAAATCTAGTACCTTTTGTTTCTGTACCCCTTATTAAATACCTGAAAGTAAGTATTTTCCACATTCCTGATGCTGTAGATAACTTTAAAGGTATGACATTTCAGGTAATGGGAAGAAGATGTGACTGAATTTTCCAGGACCTTTGGCCATATATTTTCAGTATACAAGGAGTTGTTCAAAAACAAAACCATGTCTTTATAACAAAAGGACTACCCCTTCCTTGTACAAAATTTAACTAATTGGTATATTGCACCGATCTCCTATCTTGTTTTAACTGGAAAGGGAGGGGGGGTTATGGTTGCTGGGGTGAATTTGCCTTTAAACTGCTGATCTAATCAAGAACTATAGTCTAAATGTTTGGGAGGAAGAAATGTGGGATTAGTCTGCTTTACAAAGACTGCTTCTACTGCTATTTTGGCAAAGGCCAGCAGTGGAGCCTCACATCACATACTGACAGATGAAGGTCTTGCTGCTGCAGATAGAGCTATGCCTCTGAAAGTGAACAAATAGCCTGCATGCAGGGCTTTTGCTGACATCCAGCTCTCAGTGATTTGGAGAGAACTCTGGTTGTGTGCTTCAACTGATGTAGCAAAACGCTGTAGTGTAATTCTGACTATGACTTGGATAAATGTTACAGTCAAGTAACTTACTTTTCCCTTCCCAATTTAGCTCCCTTTTTTTTGTTGGGGGTATACCCAAGACTAAGAAGTGTTCTTACAACTTGTAGTGGGAACAAGATCACCTCAGTCTTGGGCTGTGCTCACAGTTCGGGGCAAACATCCCAGGGTACTTATCTGGTCCTGCCTTTATTTGAGGCTTGTTTTCACTTGAAAAGGATTTTCAAGTATCATTGTACTTGTAGTTACGCAAGCTAACTGTCTGTTGTGGAGAACTGATTTATGACAAGTCAGTCAGTATCCATTAGTTCTCCAGAAACAGTAACTTTGCAGGCAGAGGGATATGAGTCTTCAAGATAAATGTTTCTGCTACATTTGAGCTTTTGCTAGCAGGTTAGTTTTACTGAGCATGGCATCATGCCTTTCCATACTCGAAGGTAATTTCACTCTACTTTGGAAGTAGAGGCCCAGTCTCTATCTGTGCATTTGCTCTGGCGAATGCAGATCCATACTGAATGGATAGTTGCTCACCACCTTAATCCAAATTACACAAGGAGGTTTCAGATAAGGTGTTATGTGAAGCAAGAACATGCCTGGTTTCTTACAGGGTCTCTATCTTTTGTGCATCTTCTGAGTGCTGGAAGATAATACTGTAGAAAAGTCAGCTCTGGTGGCTTAGTGCTTCCTAAAGTTGGCCGTCCGCATCACCTTTTGCCTGAGGTTACTGTCTGACCCCAGATGGACATGAGGATGGGCCTCATATTCTGCCCATTCACTACCTTCATTCATCAGGCAAGCAAAGGACACATTGCCCCAATGCAGCTTGGGCATATGCTTTTCACTCTGTCCCTTTGCTGAGACACAGCGTGCTCTTCAAATACAACCTGGGGATCTGTGAGAGCCTCACGGGCATGGCTCAGTAACCAAGTCTGGGAGTCAGCTGTGTTTCAGTAACTAATTTTCTGTTTGTTTTTTGCAGGAGAGCGACCCTATCGATGTGCTATGTGTCCTTATTCCAGCTCTCAGAAGACCCATTTAACTAGGCATATGCGCACCCACTCAGGTTGGTAAGCGGCAGCAACAGCATGACTCAGGAAAAGGGGGTGGTTCACAAAATCAGAGCATGGTTGGAGTTGGAAAGGACCTCTGAAGGTCACTGGGTTCAGCCCCCCTGCTTAAACAGGGCCACCTAGAGTAGGCTGCTCCCCATTCTGTATGAGATGTCATCTCATCCAGTACAGCTTTAGTTCCTATTTTAACAGGGAAAACTGTCTTTAACTACCAAGAAAAGGCTAAATATCACTAATGAAAGTGATAACAAAGGAATATATCATTTTCTTTCCCTTTTACTTTCCAAGGTGTATTCTGAGATTCATAAAGCTGATCTAGTAGTCCTAGTAATCTAGCAGCAAATACAACATAGTAATGATAGAGGAGCAGATTCTTGTGTTTTGTCCACTGCCCTAAGTCAGTTCAACTCACTGAAGCTGGGAAAATTTTGAGCAGCTGAGAGTCTCCTCTGTGATGTCTATGCTTTCATCTCATCCAAGGGTTCTGAGGGAACCCTTAGCTTTTGCTCAGTGTTATAGAAAGATATAAATAAGTGCCTGCCTAAGGCGAGGAGGCACAGAGGAGAAAAAAGCAAACTCATAGGGTGTTGACAAGTGACTCGGTCTTGTGGTAAAAGCTGAATTAGAAGTTTTCATTAGCTTTAATTCCCTATTACTGGTCATGACCTGTGGTGTCACAAACATCTACTCTTTCTCTCTTGCAAATCTCTTTTTGAATTAATTAATAGCATTTTTGTGACTTGTAACAGCATAGGCATGCTAGACAAAAGCACAGTTGTCCTTTGTGACTCTCATAGGGGAGTTCAAGTAGAACTCAGCCTGTGCTTTTGGTGTGCTAATATCTGAATTTACCAGAGCTAGGTGAATTCCTAATCCTAACAAACAGTAGTAAATGTCTTCTGAACAGTAATCGTTTCAATTTCAATAGATGAGACTTCTAATTGAAACCAGAAGGCAGGCAGTTTTAACTGTAGTGGAGTGGGGGGTTGAACCCATTAAAAATAGCCAGTTTTAAAATGACATGCCAGTATTTTGGTTTGATAATTTAGTGAACTAAATATCCTTCTTCCAGAATTAAAAGTAATTTTTGCCTGAACCTCTGGGCTAAGTGCAAATTTGCAAATGGTTTGGTCAATACTGAATCTGGGAACCATTTAATGAACACTTTATTTTCCCCTAGTCTGTGCAAGGAAGTTTCAAGTGCGAAGTAGTTGAGGAGTGGGATCTGCCCTTGGCCCTTGACTTCGAGGTCTGTGAGGGAGGGTGTGAGCTACGCTAACAGAAGCAGGATTGCACATGGGACTCTTGCTATCAGGGGTGTTGTATTAATAGCTCTCATAACTTCAGTTGCATGTCTTGCTGCATTGCCTAGGGAGCTGAGCCTTTTCTGTGGCAATTTCTGGACTCCTGCAGTTCATAGGCTGGCCTTTTAAGGCAAATGTGTGCTGGAGCTTTCTTCAAATGTCAGACAGTGAATGACAGTGGTTTAGAGCCTACTTCACAGCTGTATTCTTGGCCATCTTGGTACATGTCCTTTCCACTTGTGCAACAAAACCCCTGGATTTAGCACAGCTGATGAACACAAACTCCTCACATACAACCTTTTGAGATAATCCGTTGCAGCTACCCCTGAGCACTCTGTGTGGTTAGAATGCATTATTTTTCATGTCTGTGTAAGAGAGAGGCTAGGCTGGTTTTGTCCTCACTCTGTGTAGCATGGAACTGTTGCTTGAAGTGTAGACATTAAAGGTCCATACTTGTGAGAAGAATGAGCAGTGAAGCATATCAAGCTTAAACTTGTGGAAAGTGTCACCAGGAAGTTGGGAGAAAAAGGAAGGAGGGAAAGAAGATATGCTGAAGATGGTAAGGAATCAAAGTAACCCTTCTTTAAATAATAGAGAGATGCTGCAGGCAGACATGAAATGATCTAGTCTCTCAAACAAGTGTCCCCATCCTTCCTGCTGGAGAGGCAGCACAACCTTTTATAGAATTTGTGAGGGCATTGCAGATCAGCCATGTGGCTCACACACAAACAGACAGCATAGACACAGTGACTTCATCTTTGCTGCAGGCTGCTCTGGTCTCCTGAGTTGTGCTGCAAAGGAGCAGCATGAGGTTTGACATTCTAGTTCAGAGCTCATGAGCATCTTGAGTTGTTGCACTAGAAGTGCTTTTCCTGTTGGCTTTGATGTGTAAATGGAAAGCCACTTCTGCTGCATGACATGCACTAAGCAGAACGTTTCAGGAACGCTTCTGCGAGAGTCGTTGCACAACTGTAAATGTAGATTTCATTAGTAACGTGATGGCTTTGGACTGCATCTGGTCGGCTTGCCAAGAGTAGCCTGCAGCCAGTAGGTCATGTGTTGAGACACTCTTACCAGTGAACTGAATTATCAGAGGTAAAGATCATCTGAGCAGTGTGCCCCTTTCACGTGCTTTCATTTTTGCTAGCTTCTTTTCCCTCTTTCTCTTTTCAATGCAAACATGATGTATGCTAAATCTGTGTAAAGTTGGACTTTTTTTGAAACGTTTGTGTGAAACTGCTATTCATCAAATGTTACATTTCCGTTTTTCTACAATGCATTCAATGGACCAGTTGGGTATGGATGCCATTTGCTAATATTACTGTAGAGAGATCTCTGCCGGTATGTATACATAGCCAGAACCTGTGACGTTTTGACTGCTTGTTTGATTTTGGATCCTCTTCCTCCCAACCCTTACCCCTTCTCTCTTTTTTGTATTTTGTCTTTGGTGTCTTGTGAATGTGTTTGTGACTTGTGGATTTCTTACATTGATTTTACTTAATTTTAAAGGCGCATGGGATATTTTTTTTCCTTCTTCTTTTTGATTTTCATATTTCTGTAGCTGTATTAGTGGGAAGTGATTGCCCTCCCACCCCCATGCTTAATAATCACCATCATTCCCTTCCGCCCTTCCTTCCTTAGGTGAGAAGCCATTCAAATGTGATCAGTGCAGCTATGTGGCCTCAAACCAGCATGAAGTAACTCGTCACGCAAGGCAGGTTCACAATGGGCCGAAGCCTCTGACTTGCCCGCACTGTGACTACAAAACAGCTGACCGCAGCAATTTCAAAAAGCACGTTGAGCTCCACCTCAACCCGCGCCAGTTCCTCTGTCCTGTTTGTGATTACGCAGCGTCTAAAAAATGTAACCTGCAGTATCACATCAAATCCAGGCATCCTGATTGTTCTGACATCACCATGGATGTTTCAAAGGTGAAGCTACGGACTAAAAAGAGCGAAGATGACTTTTCCGAGGGCATTAATGGCAAAGGAGAGAAGGAACAAGCAAAAGGGGATTCAGCTGCAAAGAAAACTGAGAAAATTGTGAAAGTGGAGAAAAAAGATAATTTAGCAAAAGAAAAGAAGCCAACGAGTAATGTTTCTGCAGGCCAGGTGACAACCAGAAGCCGGAAGTCTGCTTCAAAACCCAAGGAGGTGGATATTAAAACTGAGAAAAATACTGAGAAAACATGTAAAATGAAGAAGAGCAAAAGAAAGGCAGAGGCTGAAGTAACTTCCTCAAAGCAAGAGCCTGCAGATGATACTTCAGCAGTAACAAAAAAGAAAAAGAAAGTGGAAGCTAAACCCAGAGACTACCAAGAAGCTCAAAGAAGTGACATTGTACCAGAGGAGGAGCCTAAAAAGCAAAATCCTTGCCTCAAGAAAAACAGAAAAAAGAAATCTCTGAAAAATAGTAATGGTAAAAAAAGCAGTAAACTTGACCAGGAGAAGACTGAGGAAGAGGAGATGCCAGATGAGTGTCATACCACAGAAGAAGATAGATGTATGAAGCCTGAAACTGAGGGCAGTGACCAGAAAGAGCAAGATCCCACTGACACAACAGCATTAAATAATGATGGTGGTCATGCTCTGAAGGCAAAGAGCACCAGTCCTGTAGGAAGCTGCGTACAAGATCCAGGGCAGCTGTGTGTGCCAGCTCAGGATGCAAACACAGAAGACAAAGTAGAGGACCAAGAAATGCCAGCTGCGGCAGAAGAGAGCAAAGATGCTGTTGGTGATGAAAAAGAGGAGAAAAAGGTGGACAAAGGGGAAGACACATGCTCTGAGGAATCTTCCCATGCAGTGTCTTCTGAAAAAAGCTTGGATGTGCCCACAGATGTGGTACTAGATCTGGCGCCTCAGAATAAGCCAGAGGAAACCTTTGTGGCAGAAACTGTGAGTAACTCAGACCTGATGGACCTGACCAAGACGTGCCTGCCAGTGACAGAGCCAACAGGAGATGTCGTGCCAGCACCTGCACCCCCAGAAGGATGTACACAAAGCCCTAAAGTAGATCTGGCCTTGTCATCTCCGGAGAACACAGCAGTGAATGAATCTCAGGAAATGGAGGAGGATGAGGGCATCCACAGCCACGAAGGCAGCGACATCAGTGACAACATATCAGAAGGAAGCGATGACTCGGGGTTAAATGGTGCTCGCTCCATACAAGAGGAAACAAGTGCAAAGACATCACAAGGAGCTGCAGACACCACAGTGGCCAGTCTGAACTATGTGTGCATTTTTTGTGACCGCTCATTTAAAAAGGAAGGTGAATACAGCAAGCACCTCCATCGCCACTTAGTTAATGTGTATTATCTTGAGAAGGCAGCAAAAGGGCAACAGTAGAAATAGCTGTGGCTTGGGAGAATTTTCTTTTGTAAGATCTTATACAACTTATGTACAGATACTGTAGATTTTTATTTTTTTTTAAGCATGGTTTGCTTTACTATCTGCATTGATTTGTTTTTTGTTTTTGTTTTTTTTTTAAGTTGAAAATATTTGTGACAACTTTTTGTTTAACTGTTGAATCTCTTCCTTAGAGAAGGTAGGTAGGGTGTATGAGGCTGCATCCCGTAAAGTCAGTGTAAGCTTCTTGTCTCTTAGCTTATGCAATGCTTTTATAAATTGAGTTTTAGGAACAAGACTTTAGCTAACAACACGCAAGTTGTTTGAATGTTTATAGAGCCATTGGCATTAGTTGCTTTTTGTTCTGGCAGCCAAATCCTCTCTCTCTCCTCCTCCCTTATTTTTTTTTTTATTTTATTCTTCTTGATATATCTTAATGTTCTAAGTGTTAAACTACTTGATGGTTTTTCTACCAGGAAGATAGCTTCTATTACATAAAGAGCACTTTGTAAAATAAATCAAACTTGGCTAGTGATGAACATAGTTGTTTAAGATAATTATAATTGTGAATATACATTTCAGATCCCCTGAGCATGAATGGTGAGCCAAAATTTGGGAGCAGTCCTTCTAACTTTTATTGGAGAACCTCTGTCTTGATTAGTATCTTAATTACTATGATATGTAATTGGCTTTCATGTGGGGGAGCAAGTTTGTTATTTTTAATTTCTGGTTGGATTGTTGGTTGTTTTGGTTTTTTTTATTGTGCTTTAAGGGCTTAAAATATTGCACATTGTTTTTGATTTTTACCTATGCAGTTTAATCCTTTAGGAATAGCGCTTGTGCAGTACATGTACACTTTATATATGCATGTTTGGTTTTGTTTGTATACGTTTTTTATTTGGAAATGTTCAGATTCGTTGCTTACCAAGGAACAGTTTTCTGTGATGCTTTTTTGCTGCAGATTTGTCTTGGTTTCCTGGGGTATTATTAATTGTGCATGAAGTTGCTGAAATCATGAACTGCTTGGCTATATAGTTTTAACTGGCTTTAAAATTGTGTAGTTCTTGAGCAAAAGGATACCCGTGCAATTTCAAAACACTATTTTTGCCATGAAAATGCTACTTCTTATATTTTGAATACACATACAGAGTAATAAGTTCTAATTTATAATTTGGGATCACCAGACAGGAAAATACTCCCAGTGGAAATGGCCTGCAGATTCTGCAAGTCCAGATGATTTTTATTTTTTTTCTGCCCCTCCCCTTTCAAATGACAGCAGTCAAACTTGGTGAGCTTTAAAAAAATAGTAGCAGTGATATAAATATGGTCAAAAAAAATCTAACATTTAGCATACCAAAATACAAAATAAAGATACATCAACTGGTAAGCATCAAACCTGTCATTAAAAACTGTAGGAATTTCTGCTCCTTATTAATTCAGATTGCATTTAATAAGATCATCCTACTTCCATGCAGAGAGAAACACGTAAATGATCAGATTGTCATCTCAGGTCTACATGTCACACCAGTAGTTTTTAATTCTGAAGAGATTTAATATCTGGCACACACAAACGCAAGAGAGATTGCATGCTTACTGCTTGTAGCCAGCCAGTGGCAAAATGTAAACAGAATCCAAACCAGAAGGGAAAAAGCAAAACTCTGCACTCTAATCTGTGCACTCTTCTGGCTTTTGTTAACCAGCCTTTCAGTGGGAGCAGTTGGGGGTAGCTTCTCTGGTTGCTGACACCAAAACAGCAAATTTGGAGGCAGGTGTTAATTGGAAAGTGGAGTTGAGGAGCCCAGACAGTATTTGTCAGGGCACTTTATGGCAAATGCTCATAATGTAAGCTCTGGAATAAACCCTATTCTCTGCATGATCCCACAGCATCTTCCCCTCCAAACAAACCCTTGAATGAATAGAGAGCAATAATGCTGCATTGCTTCTGCTTTTGGGAGAGTTTGGTAATAGGAGGCCAAAGATTTGAGAGGGAAGGCATCCCTCATGGCAGAAATAAATTGTATAATATATAGTGAGTTTTTGTTTGCTTAGATAGTTTTCAATTCTTACCTTGGCTGTGACAATCATTGTCAACTGAAGATCAAGTTGCAACTATATTTATGTTAAACATTAATAAAATAAACCTAGTTGAATCATTTTCCTAAACAACCAGTTGTAATAATGTTAGATGTATTTTTTTTTCTTCGTAATAGTGTTTCCTTTATATATAAAAGTTGCCACCATTTGTGAGCGAGATGAGCAGATGCTGGGAATTCCAGTACCGTGTAGAGGTTTTATAGCTCCCTTCATACCCTTGCGAAGAGCCTTTGCTGTCTTGTGAGAGACTTCAAGGACTTCAACCATGTTCAAATAAACTTGTGGACTGGCTTGATAATTTTTCTGGTTTGTTCTTCAGTGAAAAGAATGGTGTTGACTGACTTTCAATCTCTTTATGAAATAAAACCCAAGATGTGGTTCTCTTGAGATAACCTGCTGCACATTTCTGTGAAGTGGTCAAGGTTTCAATGCTTGATCTGACAAGAACTCTTTGAAAACAACAGTCAGTTCCTGTTCTGCAGTGTTTCTTACCACAAGATTAGAAACTGTAAATAAATTATTAACATATTAAGAAGAAGAAAAGTTGATTACTTCTATCTGAGACCCATCAACATTGTCCTAAAATACCTAGTGTTGGTGCAGAACTGTATTGGAATTTTCCGCTTGGTTAAGACCAAGGTTTGAGAGTATGTTATGGTAAAGCAGTAAGGATGTAATGTGTTATATGTACCTAAAATGTTAGACATTGCTAATATTGAATATTTGGGGGGGGGGAGGGAGGGGGGGATATGGGGCGGGGGGGTGTGCAGGCCAGGTAACCCACCATGTATGGTGGTCTTACATTGCTGTATCTCTCTTTAAACAATACCTTCTTTTTTTAGTTTTTCAATATTCTTAAATTATTTTGTGTTGATTTTGCCAATGCTAGCATTTTTGTGGTTTTTGGCAATAATACCTGTACAAGTGTTAAACCTCTGATATGTGATTGGAAGGATTAGCACACTGACAACCCTGCACTGCCGGCCCTGGGCTGAGCAATGTGGTGTTTCAGGCTTTTGCTGTGTAAATCTACATTGAAAGTAACTGCCCTGAGAAATGGTCTCAGAGTGCATAGCTAGGCATTAATAATCCATGGTATTGTAATTGCTGTTTCTGGATTTTGATGATATAGGCTGGAACCTCAGTTGTTTAAAGAAGAAAGTTCAACAACTGACAGGCCAGTTAAGATGTGGTAACATCATTGTTTTCAACAGATTTAATTGATTCCAACAGATGTAATGTAGCTGAAAGGTATTAAATCAAATGAAAGAATTTTCTGGAATTTCAGTTGTGTAGATATGTGATGTGCCTACAATATTAACAGAATCCAAATAGCTGATGGAATTGTTTTATGTGTACATATATTTTTTTCCTCTCTAAAATTACACTAGCTAACAAACTTTTGTAAGTTGGCAAGGAAACATGTTTATGATGTTTAGTTGCACCATGTTTGATGCTTTTACAGTGCAATACTTGTATTCTCTGAATGAAACCAAAGGTAATTTTTTCATGCTCTCTCTACTGCAGTGCATGACAGTCTTTTCTACGTTTGTAATAGATGTAAAACAAGGCAGATCATACATCCTGTTTGTACCTAAAACATGTATAAGAAGTCTTTTGTCCAAAATGTAGTATAAAGTTAAACTAAGTTGCATTATATTAACCCTTACAAGTGTATTTTCCTAAGTATAGTTATGATTAAATAAACTTTATTAAAGAACTTGCTGCTTGTATCTCCCTCTTATTAAGGGCTGTGAAGGCCATTTGTGACTTGAGAGCAGGAGCAGTGCAAGCATCAATGCAGCCCTTTTAAGACCTCCAGTCAGCACAGCCTGGGGGAGCCAGTACAGAGATGCCATGTTCATGCACATGCAGACTTGACTGTAGACAGGGACAACAGCTCCAGAAATGGGTTATTTTTACATTTCAGTCTATTGTATTCATTCCCCTGCCTGCCTCAGTGAGGATGGGGCACAAGGTGGGAGATGTGTGCATATGGACAAGGTTCAGACTTAACCCTTGACCTGTTTGTGATTTGGCAGGAGAGGCCCAATAGGCATGCAAGGCATATTCCCTGCCACATGAGAAGAAATGGCAACTTGCTGGAAGCTGTGGAATTCAAGTTTTGGAGGCAATGCAGGAGGCAATTCCTCCTTGCATTCCAAAAGGAATTTTGGTCCTGACTCATTTGGTGAATTAACAGTAGATCTATAAAAATAACATCACTATGACTACAATACTGTCTCTATAGGTAGTGAAAATGTCTTGAGAGGTGTGGAACCTGACATAGCCTGCAAGGGTTGACTTTATCACTCTGCCAGCTTGGTCCTTCTAGAAAACCCAAGCTGGATTAGCCCACAATGCTAACTTGCCTTCTAAGGTTTAGCTGTTGTTACCTCCTGCTCACTCAGAACAATTCCTCTTGACCAAGGGACCAAGGCAAAGGGCATTTGATGAACTTGTGGGGATATTTATGCTGCTGCTGCAGCTTTGAACAATTTGGGGTGCTCCAAGAAGCATAAGAAGTCATCTTTTGTCTTCTCTGGCTAAAGTTTTTCTTGTAAGTAATGCCCCTCAGAGCCATCTTAGTCTGTCAATGGGAATTTGGGTTTCCAAGCCATGCAGCTTGTAGTCAAGCAGCAAAGAGTGGGGTGCACTGCTACCATGGGATGTAGCCTTGGGGGCTGCAGAAGGGCAGGGGCTGTCATCACCTGGATCAGGGGGCAGGTTGGGCTTTGCTCTCCTTGGTGTCTTGTAGGCAGCATGCATGCTGTTATGGTAAAACCAGTGTAAGGACAGGAGTGGTACCCAAGCCTGCCCATGGGCTGCAAAGGAAGTGCTCTGAGCATGGGGTAGAGATGGCAGGGTCTGAGTATTTGTGTGCCACTTGGCCTGTGCTCTGTGTT